GGCATGGTAATTTCAAGCCAATGTGGAGATTTGTTATGTGTGGCTTGTAAAATTACAAGCCTCAAGTTGTAAAGTCAACAAGTGTTGGTCAAATTTGGTAAACATCAAAGTTCCTATTTATTACCATTGAAGAAGTCAAGTTAAAATTTGCTACCACAATATTAAATTCAAGTTGACAAGTGGCTTTGATGGACACCAAAAATTGGCAAGTGGCCAACTTGTGCACATGGGAAAATTCCATCTTTGGTCCCTAAACTATTAGGTTATTTATAAGTTTTGTCCGTAAAGCTAAACTATAAATAGGCTTAAGCACTTCCATTATAAACCATCCAAAAAGTTCTCTCTCCCATTTTTTTCTTTATTCTCCACTTTGTAATCGTTTGGTAATTCTAAGGAATTCCATTTATTGTAATGTTTTGTTGATAGTAAATTTATCATCCGTTGTGGTTCCCGAGGAGTAAACAATATTTTATTGAACCTCATAAATTTGGTGTGTTCTCTCTATTATTTATTTTGTATGTTCATTATTGGATTTACACCATTGTATTTCAATATTCAATAGTTTGACGGGTTTTTTCCGCTGTGCAATTTAGATAGTTTAATCTTGACATTTCAAATCAATTTTGAAATTATGTTCATGTGGGAAATAACACAGTTTCCCCAACAACTGTAATTTGAAATAAAACTCAAGTTCAATTTTATGTTATGTTACATGCATTAGAATAAGGTATTTGTAGAGCTTGGAAACATTTTTTTACCTGGATAATATACGCAAATGAAAAATGAAGAGATGCAAGAGTTTGTAGTAGGCCACCAATTATCCAATTTGATTCAGATGATATAAACAATAGAGAACTTTGAAGTAAATTAGCAGATGTTGTTGCTGATGATGATGATGTTGAAGTATAAATGACTTTGGGGCCCTTGTAGAAAATAAACACAAATGCACCAAATATTGATGTTATGGTGCCAATGATTTTAGCTTGAGAAATTGAACTTCTAAATGCTAATTTTTCCATCCTTGTATGTGCAAAAACATGAGAAAATAAAGGGTCTCAAGGGACTTATCTCAAGCACATAAAGGTCATAAAACATGAAACAAAAATGGGATATTCATGAAGACAATTAAATACCTGAAGAAGACAACAAGTATGAAAGTAAAAGCTGGTATCATATTGATAATGGTTGAACTAAGAGTTGCGGAACCAAATTCTATGCCTTTGCACACAAGTAGCAAAGATGAGAAACTGTCTCCAAAAAGATGAAATAATTCATAGAAATGAAAATCATTAAACAAACATAAAAGGGAAATCAAAATCCATACCCAGGAACTCCAAGAATGAACATTCTCCAAAAAAGAGGGAACTTCAACGGAGGGAGCAATGTTGTCTTGCAAGAGAAAAAAAATCAGATCAACAAACAAGACATCCAAAAGTTTAAAATGAAATTCATGAAAATGAGCAATGTTGAAAATAAGGACTGCAAAATCACACCATTAGCATTGAATAGAAAAATAAATAATAATTCAAAAGTGAAATAGTAAACCATGTTATGGTAAAAACCACCTCCTTAGAAACGAAATCGCTCCGATATGTATAATCGCTCCAATAGGCGGATCGTCCCCTAAGGTTAACATGGTCGCCCCAAATTTTGTACCCCCAAAATCGGAGTGGACTGTTAGCGGTATTGCACTTATGATCGAAAAGTATAGAGAGAATATCTTTAGAAACACTAAGAGAATAAATAGTGAGTTGTGGAGTGAATTGAGAAGCTAAATTCAACTATCTATTTAGAGGTTAGAAATAGGGGTATAATCATCCAGTAAAAAATTAGATTAATATATTATTTTAATTATGAAATTAAATCCTATCATAACTGCTGAAACATCCTGGTGAATCTGACATAAAAATAGTCTAGGTTCATCGAATCAATATTCAGCTGTTATAACTCTTGAAATTCCACGCGAATTTTCTCTAAAAATATAGTATTTGTGTGAATTTTCATTTGTTCTTTTAGAGATAATTTTATACAAATTTTCTCTAAAAAGATAGTATATGCGCTTACGTGTTGAAGACACATATTACCACGACCACGAACACAATCACTAGATGGATGGCGACGATGGTAGTGTTTGAGAGTCCCCTTTGTTCTCTATCACTCAAGAAGGGAGTGGAGAATGCAATCCTTAAATACTCATTCCCAATAGTGTTTCCAACTCTATGTGGGATTGAGCATTACCAACATTCAAGGAATTAGTGTTGCCAACCATAGCCATGGTTGCAGCAGAGTGCTCCAATATAGTCATCAGCCTTTTTTAGAAAGTTGATTTTTCCAAAGGGATGAGCTACTTAGTCTTTAGTGCCTACTGTTATATTTTAAGCACCCTTGTTTTCCTCCTTTTACTCTCCATTTTTCACAGGGTTTTTTCATGAATTTCATTTGAAACTTTTGGCTCTAACATGTCTTCTTCTTTGTTTATCTGACTTTTTTTCTTTTTGCAAGAAAACATGGCTCCCTCCGTTGAAGTTCCCTCTTTCTTAGAGAATGTTCATTCTTGGAGTTCTTGGGTATGGGATTTCTTTCAGACTGGTAAAACTTAATTTTTAAAAAAAATAAACTTATTGAAAAATTGTGGAAATGTTGTGGGTAGGAAATAAAATTTTAAAAAATACATATATTGAAATTTTATTTTAAGATCTAGATCATTTGCTATAATACACGCGGAATTTGTTATCTCTTCGTTGACTAGTTTCATCAAATATATTATATACATATAACTCGTCATGTGGACCTAATGAAAAATTATATGGAACTCATCAAGAAGACATAATGAATTCTAATTACCACAGGTTGAATTGTGGTATAACACCAATTACCATACAATCATTGGCACCATACCGTTCAAGGCATTATACGGTTACAAGCTACCTATGTTACAACATCAGTGCAACACACAAGTTTGAGCAGTTCAAGACATGCTACAACACAGAGAGCATCTTAACAGAATTTTGAAAGACAATTTAACCAGGGCTCAACATAGAATGAAGCAGCAGGCAGACAAACATCGTACTGAAATGCAACTCAACATTGGTGATGAAGTGTACTTGAAGTTGCAACCTTACCATAAGATCTCCTTAGCTCTTTGATGGAATTTGAAGCTTTCAGTAAAGTTTTTTGGTCCCTACAGAGTCATTGAGAAAATTGGATCATTGGCATACAAGTTACAATTACCAACACATTCAAAAAATACACCTTATTTTTCATGTCAGCATGCTTAAACGAAATGTGGGAACAATGTTGTTACCTCTTTGGCCCTTTCAAGGTTGGTGACGATGGTCAGCTTCAAGTTTACCCTGCGGTGGTCATGGACAAACGAATAATTAAACGGCACAACAAGACAGTAACTCAGCTTCTCATTCAGTGGTCAAATTTAGAACCGGAGAGTGCTACTTGGGATCAAGTCTCAATTTCCCGATTTTGATCCTTGGGGTCAAGGATCGTGTGAAGGGGAGGGTAATGTTATGACTGTGGAAGGAAAAACGAGGACTATGAAGAGTAAAGAGGGAAAATGTGTTATAGTTAATATATTAATATACATATAATAGTCATGTGAACCTAATGAAAATTGTATGGAACTCATCATGATGATATGACGAATTCTATTTATTTATTATATTTTATAAACCTCAACATGATGAATTCCAAAAACACAATAGCAAATAACCTAAATCTCAAATAACACCTATATTTCTCTAAATTTTTTCCATTTGGATATTTACCCAATTTGGTGAGAAAATTGAAGCAAAAGTCTTTTTTCTATTCCTTTACCTAAAGATCAAAAGAAAATTATTAATGAAAAGTATGATTCCATTGAAATCTCTTGCGCCATCAAGTTCTCATACCAACCATACATTAAGGGTCTGTTTGTTTCACTGAAAACATTTTCTGAAAAATATTTTTCGTAAAATGAGTTACATCTTTTGTAAAATATTTTATGGAAAATTTTACGATGATTTGAAGATATTGTGTAAATCATTTTCCACTGGTTGCTAAATTTTATAGAAATTATTTATTGAAAATATGAAATATAAAAAATGATATTTTTATTATAAAAACTTAATATTATTATTTTAAAAATCTTAGAATAATTTATTTAATACTATTTATACTAATATTATTATTAAAATATTATTTCAAAAATATTTATAAATAAAAATGGTAATATTAGTATATTCTATTAAATAAAAATATTATAAATTATATTAAAGATTTATTAAAATAAGATATATTATATTTTTAAAATTATTAATAATATTTTAAGTATTTTATTGAAATATTATTAGACTATTATTAATATTAGATACATAAATAATATTATTTATAATTAATTTAATAATAGTTTTAAGAAATTAATAAACAATATAAATTTTACTAATAATTTATTATATATTATTAAAACAAGAATATAATAATATCATATATTATTATAATATAACTAACTATATAATAATAATAATAATATATATTATTAAAAATATTAATAAATATAGTTTAAATACGTTAATAATTAATATTTTTATTAAAATATACTAAAACATCATATTAATATTAAATACATAAAATAATATTATTTTGAGTATCCATGTTTTGAATTAAAAATTTTGGAAAATGACTTACGGAAAATCAAATCGTAAGTCATTTTTCAGACAATACAAAACAATTTCTGTTGACCAGAAAAATATTTTATATCGACCAATCTATTTTCCTTCAATAAAACACTGAAATATGATAAAAGTATTTTCCGAAAATATTTTACGGACAAAATGATAAGAATGTCAATGTTTAGAGATTTGATTCCACCTTTCCCTTCCTCTTTAGTCTTTTACTTGGTAGAAAAGCATAAAAATAATGATGATTTTAATGTCATAGAAAATTAATAATGGTGATTTTAATGTCACAGAAAATTCATACAAGCAAACTAACAAAGTATGATATGCTGATAGAGGAGAGTGAGATGGCAAGAAGGAATGGATTCAAGGAACTGGTGTTGCCAACCATAGCCATGGCTGCAGCACAGTGCTCTACGGTAGTCGTTAACATTCTAGTGAAAGCTGCTTCTTTGAAAGGGATGAACTACTTCGTCTTCGTTGCCTACTGTTATATTTTAGGCACCCTTGTTTTCCTCCTTTTAGCCTCCATCTTTAACAGGTCCTTTTCATGAATTTCATTTGAAACTTTTGCCTCAACCATTGTCTTCTTTGTTCATCTGATTTTTTTTCTTTTGCAGGAAAACAGTGCTCCCTCCATTGAAGTTCCCTCTTTTTTGCAGAATGTTCCTTCTTGGAGTTCTTGGGTATGGGTTTTCATTCCCCTTTTATGTTTGTTTAATGATTTTCATTTCCCGTGAATTCGTTTCATCTTTTCGGAGACAGGTTCTCATCTCAGTTACTTGGGTGCAAAGGCTTAGAACTTGGTTCCGCAACTCTTAGTTCGGTCATTATCAATCTGATACCGGCTTTTACCTTCGTAGTTGCCGCCTTCTTCGGCTATATATTTAATTGTCATCATGAATATCCCATTTTTGTTTCATGTTTTATGACCTTTATGTGCTTGAGATAAGTCCCCTGAGAGGCTGAAACCCTTTATTTCCCCATGTTTTTGCACATACAAGTATGGAAAAAGTAGCATTTAGAAGTTCAATTACTTAAGCTAAAATCATTGGCACCATAGCATCAATATTTGGTGCATTTGTGATTATTTTCTACAAGGGCCCCAAAGTCATTTCCACCTCAACATCATTGTCATCATCATCTGCTAATGTACTTCAAATGCCTCTATTGTTTATGTCATCTGAATCAAATTGGATCATTGGTGGCCTACTACGAACTCTTGCATCTCTTTTTTTTTCATTTTCGGATATTATCCAGGTAAAAATTAGTTTCCAAACTCTACAAATACCTTATTCTAATGCATGTAACATAACATAAAACTGAACTTGAATTTTATTGCAAATTACAGTCTCATATAATGAAGATGTACCCAGAAGAGATTGCTGTAAATTTCTTTTACTATTTGTTGGGAACCATTATATGTCTACCAATATGCTTACTTGTTGAACCAAACTTGAGTTCCTGGAGACTGAGTTCTAGTTTAGCTGCCGTTGCTGTCTTATACTCGGTAAGATCTCAAGTTATCGATTTACTTAAACTCGAGTGTGTGTTAGATACGAATATTCGAATGTAACATTGTTTCTGTTCCTTACTGGTCTTGGGACTTTTTGGGTTCCCCTTTTTGTACCTTGTACACATATGGGGGTACGCTTGAAGGGGCCTGTAGTTGTTGCAAGTTTCAAGCCAACTCAAGCCATTGCTGTTGTTATGAGTTTTATATTCCTTGGTGAAGCAGTATTTCTTGGAAGGTATTATATATCGATTGTTGTTTTATGGTTTTTATTTTCTTTTGTCTTCAACATATCATGGTAGAACATATTAATTTTTTTTGGCATAATGTCAAAAGATATCCTTAACGTTTGGCTAAATAATCACTTTAACTTTTATATATATATTAGCATTTTGACCTTAACGTTTTATTTTTTAGTGTGGATGGAACCATTAGTTAGCAAATGGTTAATGCTCTAAAATATGATCCTTTTACCTTAAAATGAAATGTTGATGGCCAAATTAATACTTGTGAAAGAAAGAGACCAAAGTGACTATTTGATCAAATGTAAGGACCTTCTCATCCTAAAATGAAATGTTGGGCTTAAATCCATCCAAGTTTTTCATGTTAATTTCTTCCTAACTTTGCCATTCCTTTTATTTGATAACCCTTAATAAAAAAAGCTTTATATTTTGCAGTGTGATAGGATCCTGAACTTTATCTGTGGGTGTGTATTGTGGGGGAAAGCAAAAGAAGAAGAAGAGATAACATATGATGACTCTGGCTTAAGCACCTTTAATGATACTGTCCCTTTACTGCAAAGCCAACAAAGTTGAACAAATGCTTCTACTTTCATTGGAATATGTAGTTTTAATATGCGCCAATATTGATAAATTGAACGGTATCGTTTTTTCTTTAGAATTTTCATTAAGACATCGTCGTTTTGAAGTGTGTTTTTACCGGTTCAATGCTTCTATTTTTCATTGGAATATGTAGTTTTGATACGCACCGATATTGATTAATAAAATGGCGTTGTTATATTTATAGAATTTTGATTAAAACGTCATCGTTTTGAAGAATGATTCTATCAGTTCAATGCTTCTAGTTTCATTGGAATATGTAGTTTTGATACATACCAATAATGATAATAAAATGTTGTGTTTTAGAGTTTCAATTAAAAAAATATCGTTTTGAAGTATGTTATTATGATTAACGCCTTTGTTAATACAACTGGGACATCAAGTAGGGGTGTAAATGAACCGAGCTTAAATAAATAAGATTATGTATGTGCTCGTTTGTTCATTTTTTTAAGGTGTTTATGTTCAGTTTGTATTCGTTTAAATTTTTAATATCGTGTTTGTTTATTTAATTTTGAAAGTATTTGGTTTGAGTGTTTGAACTTCTAAATGCTACTTTTTCCATCCTTGTATGTGCAAAAACATGGGGAAATAAAGGGTCTCAAGGAACTTATATCAAGCATATAAAGATCATAAAACATTAAACAAAAATGGGATTCATGGAGAGAATTAAATACCTGAATAAGACAGCAAATATGAAGGTAAAAGCTGGTAAGAGATTGCCAATGGCTGCACCAAGAGTCGGGGAACCAAGTTCCTTTCCTTTGTAATAACATAACTGACCTGAAAACCTGTCTCCCAATGATGAAACGAATTCATGGGGTTGGGTTTTTCTTTGTTAAGCATTGAACGAAATTTGAAATGGGAAAATCCATACCGAATAAGTTTAAAAATGAAAATTCTTGAAAAAAGAGGGAACTTCAATGGAGGGAGAGCTGCTTTTCTGCAAACAAAGAAGACATGTGAGAGCTGCCAAGAGTTCCAAATCAAATCTGTGTAAAAATTTAAAGATTTAATGAGGAAAAGTGCAGAAAGACCTCTTAAAGAGGAAGGCCAAAAGGATGAAAACGAAGGTGCCTAATACATAACAGTAGGCAGTGAAGACGAAGTAGCTCATCCCTTTCAAAGAAGAAGCCTTCACTTGAATGTTACCAACTACAAGGGAAAACTCCACCGCAACCATAGCAATGGATGGTAACACGACATCCTTGAATTCATTCCTTCTTGCCCATCTCCCTCTTATGTATCTAACATATCATCATCACCATCATATATATATATATATATATGATTCAGTGGTAAAAGAAAAAGTAATTATACAATGAGGTATTGATTCGAGTAATTGTATTTGTTGAATGTGTACACGTAATTAATAAATTAAGAAAATTAAGAACATATACTACTTGATAATCCTTCTAAACTATTCAATATATATATCATCCTCGACTACCTTAGAAATAAAATGTCAAGGAGAAATTGAAAAGAGATGGAATCAAATCTTTGTCTAACTCTTCATTTTGAGTTTTTTAAATAAAGGCTTACGAGGGAATTGTATCTTTAAACATAATCATTATAGGATGAAGACAAAACTTTAATTGTGCCCCACCATAGTTTCTTTTTACACATGTTTCAAATCACTCATACCAAACTTTTTATTGTTAACATTTCGTCTACTTTTCACTAATGGTGATTTTTAAGTTTTATCTTAAACTCGAAGTAGGTGGAGATGGAATATTTTTAATCAAAGGAATCGATCAGTAGAAATATTTGACTCAAACTTTCTCGTAACATTTACTTTTACTTTGAGCTTCGTATATAGATTATCCTCTCAATCTTGCCAAACCTTTTGTTTTGAACGTTCTCCATTGTTATCCTTCTTTTAATCACCATCATAATCACCCACTACTAGAATGTTCTCCATTGTTTTAAATCTACTTAGGGATGCTAGAAATTCACCAAATTTGAGTGTATATTTCACTTACACATGATTTGGACATTAGTGTGGTAAAAAAAAGCCACTTAAAAGATAAATTTGTTGGGATTAAATTCAAGAATTAGGGATACTAGTATAGACATCTATAGTACTATGTTTTTCTATCAACATGTAGCTTTATGTGGAGAAATTTTAGAATCCGAGGTCAGAAATGGATCGAAAGAGAGACGGGTGGAGAAAATGGTGGATCCATTTATAGTTGAGGGTGGGCACATGCCCACCTGAAATTCGATTTTTTTTTCAATTAATTATTTATTTTACTGATAATGCCCACCTGAAATTTTATTGTGCCCACCTTGAAACTCAAATTTTCTTCGGTTAATTGTCTATTTTATTAATGGTGTCTACCTTGAAATTTTACTTGTATTTATCCCATGAAAAAAAATTATGTCGTTAACATACATGTGTCCATCTTCAAAATTATTTCTGGATCCGTCACTTGGTGGTGGATATCGCCCCTAAAAAAATTAAAATTAATATACATTTTTATATTTTCAATTTATAATATATTTTCTCTGAAATATAGCTTTATGTGGAGAAATTTTAGAACCCTGAGGTCAAGGATGGATCGAAGGAAATAAGATTAACAATGCAAGTAAAAGGGAAATATACACAAACTATTGATGTTTCAGTCCTGCTGTTGAACTCATGATGTCTCATTCTCTATGCTTTGCAATGTAACACATCTGTTTCTATCTGAATTCAAATATGAATTTACAATTCGATCATTAAACTTTTGAATTTTACTGTTTAAGTCATTCATACATTAATTCTTTAACGTTGTTATGTTGCAACACCAAAACACTGCCTTTTGGAACTTTTTATTTCTAAAATTAACCTAATATCTAAGCCAAATTCATGAAATTTTGGTCTTACATATGAATGCCATCCCTGATTCCCTAGCTCGCATCAGTTCCTGCAATTCCTCCTTCAACTCGGTATCGATCTGGGGATTTAATTTCCGGGACAACGAACCTCGCTTTCTTCCACAGCTTCCCGGGGACTATGCACTTACTATTTCAGATGAGTCTTCGTGATCGCCATCTTTGTTGTGAAATTCGGGTTAATTTCCACCAATAACAGATTCGCCTTGAAAACTATTATCTAGGTGACTAGTGTGAAAACGATTGTACTAAAAATCACCCCAAGGTAGATTCCCAGGAAAGAGGAGGGGTCACAATGGTCCCTCTTAAAACCCACTTTCCTTAGACAGAACTACCAAGACAAGTAATTTTAATAGGACAATAATTGACAACAACTATACCCGACAATAGCTATTAAATAGACATAAAAGAGAACACCAAAATATTTCACTAATAGAGGAAATATTACAAAGAGAGAAAGAATACAATAGCCTTTAAAATAGAAGAAGGCTTATATTTGTGGGATGATAACTAAGGAGGAGGAGGGCTTATTATAACAAAAGAATTTCCCCTCCTCCTTATACACAACCAATGTGGGACTTTTGCCAAAAACCAAC